GCGGATGGCAAAGAGGATGTCCGACCGGGGACGAGACTGGGGACCAAACCGGGTACCTCTGCTGGGATGTCCCATTGCTCTACCAAACCACATAACCAGGGATAAGGAGGAGGGTAGTCCAACCCCTTCCGTGGTTCCGTGCTGCATATAATAAACTCCGTACCAAATAATATTGAATTTAGTACCAAACTGCCACCGTAACAGATACAATTGAAACTAGATGAAATAATATTCAATCTGATACCAAACTCGCGCTGGTACCAAAAATATTGAATGGTGTACAAAAAAATGTTGAAACCAGTACCAATTAGCCCTCGAACGGTAGCCTGCGACCAGCCCTACGACCAGCACTGGGCTTGCGCTTGGTGCAGGTATTAGATTTTAGGGTTTATGAGCCCTTATGGCGGCGGCGATTTTATGACTAATTGGCACTGGTTTCTACATATTTTTTGGTACACCGTTCAACACCTTTGGTACCGGCACAAATTTGGTACCAGATTCCATATCCTTGGTACTAGTTTCAGTTTTATTTGGTACGTCGGCAGTTTGGTACCGGATTCAACATTATTTGGTACTAGTTTCAATTTCATTTGGTACGGTGGCAGTTTGGTGCCAAATTCAATACTATTTGGTATGGAGTTAAACAGGTTCCGTACCGTACCCATCCACCCAACAAGGAGTTCAGATGTGATTACTCACGTGACGCCGAGGGTCTTGTAGGCATCGCTGTTGAGCATGGAGCCCAGGCGTAGCAGATTCGATGCGGCAATGGACGATGCGGCAGGCTCAGCGCCGTCGTAGTCTTCTTTCACCCGCAGAAGGATGCTTGGATCCTTCCCACTCGTTGAGTAATAGCCGCCTGTTCAGTAGCAGCCGCCAGCGGGGTCAGTAGAGCGACAAGCGCACAGTGCGCCAAAGGAACCCGCGGCGTTGCAGTTTGCAAGGCCGTGTCGATGCTTGGCATGAATTCCTTTGGCTGGGCTATCCATCGTGGATGGCCTCCCACCTTGACATGCACAATGCGACGACTGCTTGATCGGCTGTCGATCTCGCTGGGGAGTGCGATCCAAAATTGCTGTGCAAAATTTCAACAGAAAGACCACGGATGACAGCATTCTGTGTCGGATGCACACACCTGCCTTGTCATCCCAGAACAGCTCGTTCATCCTCTCCTGCAGCTGCGTAGCCCATTTCAGACAATCCAATTTGCCAGACGCTTCGTACAGGTCCAAAAGGCCCGCCACGACGCATGCATAGTCATCAGCGAAACCACTCACGCTCGATGGACCCTTGCAGAAGGAGCGGCGCAGCAGGCCGGTGGCATCGTCCCACAGATGTTGCCGGACGAATTCGGCTGCCTGCGGTGGCAGTGGTTGCACACGCACGACATCGCAGTCAGCGGTGAGACGCGGGGAGGTGCCAAACCTCTCCCTCAACGCTGTCACTCAGGACGCGCTGCTCCTAGCACAGTTGCAATTTCGCTGCCGTTCAGACTGTCAGCCAGGGACTGCCGTCTGTTTGGCATCTATTTAACATTTATTTGTTTATTTCTCTATTCATCTACTTCCTGCCTTTGATGTGCAATTCTTCTTGACTGTTCGATTGAAACGAAGGGCAATCCTGTCTATTCACTGTGCATGTTCGAACTTTTGACACCGTTCATTGCGTTCGTCTTCCCAAACCGTCAGCCGACTTGGCGTCGTGGTTGTGGTGGCCTGCTCCAGGAAAGCAATTTAGTTGCTTCCAGGCCAGCCACAACTACAGGCAATACGAGCACCCCTTGCTCAGGAGGAGGAATAACAAGAACACACTTCACTACCATAAAAGAAGAATGCTACAATATAGCGGCAATTGACTAGCGTGCGCTTCTAAAGTAGGATAAGATGGAGAAGTCGACAATGAGTCGGATGGTGGGATGACCCCGTGTCGAACATCCAAGTGATGCTGGGGGAACGGCAACTGTTTGTTTGAACCCTGTCCTGCGCCAACGCCACATATATTACATGCATTGGCTTGGAGGCGAGCAATTCATGGGATAACACCAAGTTTGATTCCTGTAGTTGCAGTATCCAGTGGCAGGTGTGACAGGTGCAAGAGCACATAACAAACATAACAAACAACAATGCACAAGGAAACAAAGAGCAACAAGTGCAACAATTATGCCATGGCTATTCCAGAGATGAATACAAATCGCCAGGACCACACACACATATTACCCATTTCTGCTGTCAACCATAATGGCTAACACACTCATGAAACACTGGCAAAGATTAAGCCACCCCTTACAAATGTCGGAATTTCGACCCCTGTTTATCAACGATAGTGGACTGCGTATCCTTGCTCATGAGGGCACTGTAGGTGGGTGCTACGATTTTGAAGAACCTTTCTGAACTGCACTCTGCAGAAATTCTATGATAAGCCGATCTTTGACAACGGATAGGGTGTTTGCAGGTACCTTATGCGCAACAGAGAGATACTCGCTTGGGTCCACCCCGTCAACAGGGAAACACGGTTCCACAGGAGGTGACTCAGACTTCAGCACACGGGCTGCCAACGCAAACGCCGAGATGGCCATTCCATTCCAAGCAGCGACGACCTGCGCTTGCCACCACCACACACATTTTCTTCAGCGGACCTGGAGAGTGTGGAGCCAATCAGGAGATTTACTGGTCTGGGGCCAAGACACAATGCCATTTAGTGTTGGTGCTCCATGTAACCTGATAAACAGCAACAGCAACGAGAGTAGTTTTTTTTTCTGTTTTACAGCAGCGACAGTGGTTTTTTTAGTTTAACAGCAGTGTTGCTGTTGAGAAACGCCTGTGTTTCCATTTCTCAACAAAGCAGGTTCAAATCGCCATACATCGCTGTCGACGAAGCACATTGGTGAAGCACTGCGTTATATACAAGCGAAATCAAAAAGACGTCCCTATCAATCCTCATGTGTTGCTTCTGTTTCAGCAGGACCGTCATGTTCACATCTCTGCTGTTGGAGGTCATACCTCCTCAGACTCTGTGGATGTGAGATACTGCTCACAGTGCAACGAATTGGGCTGCAGAAGTGTCAATGCTTCTCGCTTCTTTCTGTGTTCTTCTTTTATTGTTTTGGAGTGAGTGCCCTCGGGTAGGAAGACAGTGACAATAAATGCTTTGATCGGGGCAAATACCACTATTATATTAAATAATCCACTAATCAAATACAATCCTTAATCGTATGCAGTACAAACATTGCAGAGTGTGCCACTCCCAGTGTGCACAGGGCAGAGGTACCTATGACAACCAGAATCGACATTTCACTCAATGAACAGGCAACAGTATGCTCAGCTTTCTGATCAGCTGCCCAGATCCATGGACACCATGGTGCATTGCTGGCCTGGCTCTCCAGAATACTCCATGTGATGCCACCCTCAGCACCAAGAGCCAGAGTGTGGTTTTGGGTTGACATCATGAAAACACAAGGAATGGCTTCTCGCAGCAATTAAAAACCATCCTGGTCAATCACGTGGATCAAAAGTCTGCTTTGTCTCGTGCATTGTCTGATGGCACCCGTAATCAAAGAGGGTGCCACATCCAGTCGCTTGCAACTCACCTTGTTGTCAAGGTGTGGCCTGGGCCTTTTGGCCCTTGCCTCATGGAGGGCCTGTCGGCAGCTTGCCAGCAACTTCTCCACCTCCAACTCTCCCACTCCAAACTGTGTTGCAGTCTCACTGACACTATGTCTCTCAATTAGACAATTCTTTCCAACAAACTCTTTGTGGGGATCGCTCCGTGCTGACAGGTCACAATTTCCCTCCCTTTTCACATAATAGTGTGAGCCAAATATCTTGGCCTTCGCTGGTCCAAGAATGGCATCTATTTCGTCGAAACTCCATATGTAGAAAGTGCCCTCGCCCTTCTTGCCAGCAACGGGGTCCAGGCTGTCAGCATCCTGAAGTCATGACATAAATGGAGATCAGCACGATTCCAATGTATGATATGCAGTTGGTGAAACCAATAAAAAGCACTCAAACTTAAAGGCCACCACAGAAGTCACACCAGGATTCGACATTGCTGTAAGTCATCGCTGGGAGATGACCTGTGAAAGCCAATGTAGTGCTGTGCCAACTTTTACTTCTGCTTTGGGCACCTATGGTAGAAGCACTTTGCTTTCGAGCACTGACACTAGCTCAACAAGCAAGAATATTCCAACAGCAGAATCACTTTGAGCAAAAAAAAAAACCCTTTTCCGCCCACCTCCCACCAAGCACACGGTGTACAGCCTAGATACAGCTCCAGGTACATCTGCCCATTTCCATTTCAAATATTGCCATAGTTGCTGAAACACGTCCTGGATGATAACACCTTCCCTTGATAAGATATGTGGAGAGGGGCTCTGGCCTATATGGGGGCTAGCGATGATGCACAAGTCTTACAGTGCAACAGGGCAATGCAACAGAGCAAAACCTGAACAGTGAAAATACACACAATCAAGTCTATTTGCCACAAGACAAACTCTGAGAGGACAGAATTCATCCAGAAATCTTGGCACACCTCCAGTTGCCATGCACCAACTTATTGACAACCATTACCTCAAAGGTGCAAAGGTACTGGCTTGATACATTAATCAAAACAGATCATTTTGAAGCAGTCAAAGCTGAGACTGGCCACAATTCGTTGCGCACCTCTGCAGAATACAGGCCTCCATCAGGGTGCATCATGTCCCTCCGCAGGTAGTCCAGCACACCGCGCACCACGACTGCCCACCGCCTGTCCCCAGTCAGCTGAAAGCCACTGAGGTAGGTCACAGCAAGCTGGGGGTTGTCGTACAGCATCTTCTCAAAATGGGGCACATGCCAATGCTCATCTACACTATACCGATGAAAGCCTCCTCCCACGTGGTCATAGATGCCACCCTTGGCCATTGCTGCCAATGTGAACTGGATTATGTGGAGGAGCTTGTCCGCCAGTGAAGGCTCATCGGCCTGTCTCCAGGGCATCAGACAACCAATATTGTGTAATTCCTTTGATTTTCGTCGTTCATTGCAGGGTCCACAGCAAGTTGGGAGACAGATGCAACCAAGTCAACCTGCATGGCACTTTGATTTGGTCTAAGTTGAGGTTCAACAGTTCCTGCACACTAGAAGGAAAAGCCAATTCAAGGTGAAGTTCAACCTGTTGCACTTGACAAAGGTTAGCCCCAGCAACTATTGAAGGGAATCCTCTCAAAATTGATATGAAACCAGTCCGACCAGAAATGATTGGGGCTAAGCGTACTCGCAGTCTACATAATATTGTTGTGAATATATTTGCGTTTGAGTCAATTGGGATGTAATTTGCATATTGGATTGTCAACAAAGCAAAGCCTCCACTGGGTGGAGTAGGTATGGACTCGTGGTAGGCTAGGTCTAGCCTAATCATCTAAATCAATTGCATAGCAACACAGTAGCAGGGAATCAACAATTAGGGAGCAGGAATTGGCAATGGCTCAAAAAAAGTCTTGCAGATGCCAGACCTTGACCCTGTTTTTCCAGCATCTGCTGGCTAGCCTATCAACACATGTGCAAGCATAACCAGGGATGCCTACACATAACATGAAGCAAAACCAAAAATAATGTCAGCAATATACAAGAAAGTTACATCAGCAGCAACAAACCAACAGGTATGCATTGCCAGCAGCCAACAAGTTTCGAAAACAGATATCATGAAGTATATCCCCGAATACCTTCTTTCTCATGTACTGGCAGACAAGCAGGTTGAGCTCGCATGGTCGTGGGAACTTGGGCGCGCTGCCGAAACCACCACGTGCCGAATCGAAGCTCCTCTCGAAGTGCCCCGCACACTCCTCGATGACACTGGCAGCGAGGGTCTCGATCTCATTGCCTTCTGGAAGGGCAGGCACGACTGCATCAGCAAGCTGCTCGATGACTGTCGCACCCTTTTCAACAGCACCAATAATCAGTCTTCCAACAATAGGCTGCTGCAAGTGTTCAGCAAATACAAATGGACATAGGGTGCAGTGGTTGATAACTACGGCCTAGGCACACAAGACATAGAGAATATCCGGACGGCACAAACATAAAACTCTGGCTGGTACCTTGCCATGCAGGGCGCACGCAAGTCATCGCCAGTCACTTCAACAGCATGAAATTAGTCCCTCTGTCTATTTTGTTATGGTTGATTCTTGTCCAGACATCCTAAACCCACTGACCGGCGTTGCCCTTGTCAGCAGACGAAGAAGGGATCCTCATGGAAAGGATGTGGGGAGTAGTTTATTCTCCATCATATCCTCAACACAGTATGCTCTACAAAGAACAAGTGGCCAAAAAGCAGAATGGCCATCCATGCTCTCTGGCATATAGCAGACATCCAATTAACGATTCTGGGAGACGAATGCAGGTCGCAAAATTGGTATCCTCTGTCTAAGCTCAAATGGTTTTACATGTTTCCACGCTGTGAGAGACAACATGGAAGTTCCAGAGCAATTTCCGCCAAGCATACAAGCAAGGGTACAGTGAAACTAAAAAGCAACAAACATGTGCACCAATAACCAAAACTACACTGCAACACTGTCAGACGTTGCCTGTCAGTGCAAGACTATGCCAAAAACAGTATCTGTCTGCATTTGTGCCGCCATGTGCCACAATAAGCGGCTTTCCATTCAAGTCGATTATATCCATTCAAATTGTATCAAGTTCGAAAATTGTCAGATACCCTTCATTTCTGGATGTGAAGGATGTGAAGGGGGCAAAGGGTACAAAGGCAAAATAGGATTGGAGCATTTACGCCTGCCTCATCAACTTTCTTAGTGTGTAGACACTTGTCAGATTTCAGGTTTTACGGCATCCCAAATTTTGGGTGTAGTTTTTAGGGTTTAGGGTATCCAGACCTTGTACCTTTTGTTCCCTTCACACCCTTCATGTCCCAATAATGTCTGGAAACAATGGGGAATCAGACAAACCTCCCAACTTCAATCAGGTTTGACTGTCAATTTCGATCAGCTGTATGTGGTGTGTTACTTTATTTTGCACTCAAAGGGTTTCTCATTCGTCTTTCACACCATTGAAAAGAACCTCTCACGTCTTCTTGCTCAGGTGTGGAGTGACCATTGCATGACATGTTTCCTCACTTGTCACAATGGACCTTGAATTGCATTCGATCCCCTGTGATAAGCATGTGAATCCACTGTATCGCAAAGATACCCCAGTGCGTGTTACATTACTTGCAACAATGATTGGGAGCCAGGTGCTGAGCCTACCTGATCAGCAAGTTCTGTCCGCTTGCTTGCCCACAGACCCGATACCCTATTCAGGATCGTCATGAAGCCTGGCAGGCCATACCGGTCATCAGGAGGGAAGTAGGTGGCCCCATAGAATGGCTTCAGATCGGGCGTCAGAAAAACGCTCATTGGCCAGCCACCTCCCCCGCTGGTAGCCTGAACAAAGGTCATCTGCCAAATACATGTGCCAAGGGCCATCACACTGTAGTTCCATTTACCTATTTGCCTGATGCACTGCTGACAGGTAGAAAATGCACCTTGCATTGATTTGGTGACCTGCTCATGGTTGCTTCATGTCCCATTTCATTTCCTAGCTGTCTTCCTCCATGCTACTCAATTGGTCAAGCACAAAGCACACTGAATGAGACTGTCTGTGCACCAGTCACAGACTGTGAGGTTTTGGCCCTGGCAGGCATATGTGCCCATCTTCCCTTCAGCATTTCTGGTATTTGCCAATTCTGGCTTTTCCCACCCTGGCACCACATTTGCAGTGCATCTTCTAGTCAGCAATCTTCATGATCGACACAATACAACTCTTGGAAAATGGCATGTTTTCATTCTCCTTGCATATTTTCTATGTGTCCACGTGTGCCACAAGCAGACAATGTGCACTTGGTCATGGATAAAGAATGTCAAGTGCCACGTGCAAAAATGACAACATCAATTCCGATGTTGCTGCCCCTTATCTGTAACCTTAAGGCCTACTCACATAGACTTTGTCAACATCTGGCCTCTCCTCCCTGTCCACTTTGATGTTCACAAACTTCTCGTTCATCACAGCAGCAACTGTCTCATTCTCAAAGCTCTCCCGTTCCATGACATGGCACCTATGCATTACGATAGAGATGCAATTTCACATAGTGCTGGCATTACTGCCTCCAGCCTGTGTAAACAAGCAACATATTCACCACTTAATACAAAATGACACAATTGTAAAGCACTCACACCTCGTCGATGAGAACAGCGGGGCAAGTGATTCAACAAGCTTGAACATGCCAAGGCTAAAGCCTTGCTGATTCCATCCATCACATCATGACAAATTGGTATTTCGTGCATGTTGAGCAATGTCAAGCTGCTCACTTGCGAGCACAGTGCAGGGGGCATACTACACATCAAAAACAATAACAGTTGGCGAGTAGAAAACGACAATGCTTGCATCTCCTGGAGCATTCACTTTTACACGGTTGCAATGCAATCAACACGCTGTGTTCACGTGTGCTGAAATGATAGGAAACGGCTTTGTCCTAACTTCAGGTATCAAATACAGATGGGCAGAGCATAGTCCAGCATGATTCGAACGTGCACGAGAGAAATCCACACAATCTTCCCAATTTTGGCCTTTTGGGCGGCCCGCTCAAGAACAATCCGTGTAGCAAGGCTTGGCAACATGAGCCCTTTGCTCATGAAAAGTATACAGCTGTAGAGAAACAGTGAAACCGGTGTAAAATTCTTGCAAATTGGCCGAAATAAAGGAAGTAGTGGTCTCCTCCACTACCTTCATCTGCTTCGTGTTTGCAGAATACACTGAGGACAATGCACTGTGCAAAGGACAATTTTGACTCAATCCTGGATTTCAGCCTTCATCTGCCATGTGTGCACTGCTGGCATTTTCGCAATAGCGTCTTCCACACAGCACCAATCAAAGCTCCCAGGCCTTTGGGGGAGTATGCAGATGTCAAATAGAGTTGTGATACCCCCACACCCAGATTGGAAACTGGTTTGCAAGGACTAGCCAGCACCAGGATGCATTTTGTCACACTTTATATAGTCACTGCACTTCTCTGTTTGCACCCACCAGTGGCAGGTAGAATAGCCAACTGATAGGAATATTGGCTTGTCCTCCGATCGCGCTTTCTCAAATGCCTCCTCACCCCAAGGGTACCAATCCACCTGCGCAGTACACAGCAGACATGATACCATTTATTGGATGAACTGTGCATGGGGTGACGTCTGAGAACTCAGCTGCCCACGATGCATTGAATGGTGCCAACGTACCAGTGCACATCTATGATTGCCTCTGTACACGAAAAAAAGCGTCCCAGTCAAGCACAAGGCCGTGAGGGTCAAAGCAAAACTTGTCCATCTTGCCAATCCACTGATGGAAGAGTAACTTTCAGGCAGGGGACAAACCACTGCTATTATGTTTCATTTTTCAAGGTGTTGACAAGCAAATGATCGAGATTGATCTGCCACGCAACGAAAAAAACTGGCAGCTGTCGATGGCAGAATCGCTGGATGGGATTGACAAAGCGCAGGGTGCAGCAGAAGGTTTTGAAAGCAAAAGGGTTGGGAGAAAGATAGCATTGTAGTGGTCCAAGAGACTTGTGCTCTGTTGTTGTGCACTGACAGATTTGTGCCCTTGCCAAATGAATGATAGCTTGCCACTGGCCACCTGTCCACAATGCACTGCACATCAAGGCATCTGCCATCCGTTGACAGCACAGCATTATACAAAGGGGACAATCTCTTATTGGTGCCATGATCATTGGGGGCATACTGATTGGCAAATGCCACTGGCAATTGCTGACCCTTCTTGCATGTCATTGCTGAGCGAGTTTTTGAGAATCTTTCCACTCAGCTAGGGCTAATGTGGACGACTCTGACTGCAGCAAGTTCAATGGCATATCCTCTTCTGCATAAGAACTACTACCATCACCCCTACCTTTCTGATATTTCGAACTTTCGGGACACTGGGTGTTTAGGGATGATGCCCCAAAACATATAGTCAACAACCCATGCCCCGGCTGCCAGATCGTGGACACCATTCAGCCCAAAGAAGTCATGAGATTCGAGGTCGTAGCGACGCGCTTGCAGAGTAACTACCACCGATAATTATACAACACTCCGTCTGGCATTCAATCCCCACAACCTGATCAGCAACAGCGACAGCAACTTGCCGGATTGTGAGCGTGCTGAAGGAGGTACGGTGACTCCTCCGCCTCCAGCCTGTTGGTGTGCCGATGCTCGCCCTTCCCATCCGGCTCCCCTCCGCTGGTCGCCATCCCCCTTGCGATCGAGAGCCGATCCCCCGGGTGGGTGTGCCAAGAGGCGGGCAGCGGGCACCACCGCCAGGAAGCGGGGGCAGCGACGGGCTGTCGGCGGCAGGCAGCGGATGGGCGCAGCCACGGCGCCGCGACGGCCCTGACGAACGTCTCGATGCGCCCTGTGGCGGGACGCATGGGGATTGTTTGGTGGGGCATGTGCCGCTGTGGCGTGCTGTGGGTGCGCTATTGGATGAGATTGGTAACCGGTGAGGGTGAGGGTGAGAGCGGTGTGGCTGGAAGCCGGTGTGGGCCCCAAACGTGGGCCTGTCTTGCGGCAGGTACCGGCATTGCCACGTACGATATTACAAATATCCACCTCGTCGTCTTGAAGATGGCCAAGCTATGTTCAGACCGCATTTCTACAAACAAGTATAAACAGCGTTTTGGAAAACAAAACGCATCCAATCCACCCACATTCCAAAGTTTGTTCAGTGGTTATTTATTATATTCACGAATTGCTGGCAAGGACACGACACAAGTGAGGCAAATTAACGCGCTGCCTGTGCTGTTGAATGGATTTGATGACAATATGTGTTGCTTATTGTTAAACAGCCAGCAGCACAGGAAGGCACTGTCTATGTCTAGAAGGACCATGATGCGAGCCAAGGTCGAGATTGGAACCGTTAGACTGAAACTGCAACAACCGGAATACGGATTCGGAACTTACGGCCCAACACGACATGGCCTATTTGGTGGGCGAGTCGCGCTCAGCATTCTCAAATTCAATGGCGCTGGGTCGTCAGCCAACTGGGGAAGATTGCCCCACACAAAGCCGTCGTCGCCCCCCGGACATTGCTGGACTTGCCGGACTCGCCCCCAAGGCGTCATCGGCCATTCCCCCAAGGCAAGCAGCCTCTCTGCGACCCCATTTGACGTCACATCGGCTGCATGGCGTCCGCACCTGCCCGGCGCATTTGTTGACGTCTACCCCGCCCAGCCCCCCGCACAGCCCGGCAGGCGGTGGCGGTGCGCAGGAGGGGCGCGCTCCCCCGCCATCCAACCCCACCCACCCTGCTGTCCTCTACACCGTGGTAGCGGCCGGGAGGCCTCCGGCCGGTGCATAGTTTCCGCGTGCAGGAAGGCAGCCAACCCACCCCCCTCTGCAGGCTCGTCCTCTGCAGGCACGGCGGAGGAGGCGATTTTTTATGTCGGGCCCCGGGGGAGGCGGGGAGCCGGAACCCCTCGCCCGTGCCACCGCCCTGCGCGACTTCGCCTACGAAAAATACCGCCTGCGGAATGCGGCCCTCTCGGAGGCGCAGGCCAATCACGAGGCTGCCCAGGCGAGGCTGGCCCAGGCGGACGCCCAGCTCGCGCGCCGCGCTGAGGAGCCGGGGATGGCGGCCAGGGGGTGGGCGTTCATGGGATCGGGAGGCGCCGAGAGCGGAGAGCACTCGCTGATGGAGCTGCTGCAGCTGGTGGACCGGGTCCCCACGCTGCGCGTGAACAACGCGGACAGGAGCTTGTCCCTGCGGCTGGTGGATGCCGTGAACAGCCAGCCGGCCTTCCTCAGTGCGGCGCACGAGCGGGCGGCTGCGGCGGCGGCGCTCAGGGACGCGGAGGGGAGGCTAGAAGCGGCCGCAGATGGGGTGAGGCGCATGCAACCTGGTTTTGAGGGGGGAACTGGTCGCGAAGCTGGTGGCGGGCATGGCGCCCGGGCGGGGGCGCGGGGGCGATTGGGGATGCGGCGAGCCTTGCGGGGGAGGCTGATCCGGCTGGAGACGATTGAGGGGGGATGGGGGCGCGCCTTGGACGCCTCGAGCCTCCGGGGTTTGAGGGGAGGGCCAGGGGGATGGGGGATCGCGCTAGGGGCGGGGGGGGGAAGGGGAGGATCAATTGGGTCGTGTGCGGCGGGCGGCGTGCGCGGCGGGTGCGGTGGGTGCTGTGGGCTAGGACGCCCCGTCGTTGGTGTTTGTTGGGCAAAGGGGATGGCTGCGGGGATCTGATTGTGCGTCCAGAGCGGGGTTGGGGGTGACCTGCCATTGGCCGCAATTGGTTTCGGCCTCAAGGCTCGAATTGGCCCCAAGCGTGCGTTCACCGGGGCCCCGCCCATGCGCCCCTCTGCCACCGCACCTCGTGATGGAATCTCGTTTCTTTGCGCCTGGCAGGTGAACTTCGCGAAGGCGCGTTTCCACGCGACCACGGAGCTGATCTGCCTCATGAAGATGTCGGCACGGCATTACACGATTGGGGGCGAGCGAGTCTGCGCGCCCACACTGAAGAAAATGATGGAGAGGGGAGAGGTTGGTGCGGACGCACTCATGCACGAGCCCGCGAGCAGCGATCAAGACGCCGCTTTTAGTCGCTCAGCCAAGGAGATCATGGAGGGTTATGAAAATTCCATGAGGGCGGCAAGAGACAGCGTGTGTGGGTGCCCTGGCTGGGTAGCCTTTAAAGAGTTGCCAACGTTCGATGAGGGCACACCATGTTGGTGTTGGATGTTCTGCGGGGACCGGCAAGGTCCCTTTTCCCTGAGGGAGCTGCGAACTTGGATTCAGAATTCCGAGTTCCCATCCGAAGGCATGGTTTTCCACATGGACAGACCTGGCTGCTACATTCGTCTGCACGATGCTTGCTTCTATTTTGGCCTCAACGAGCTGGCATCCAAGTGGATCGATTTTGACAGCCAGCACAGTGGTGGCGCTGTGACAGGAGGTAAGGATGTGAAGGATAGGCCATTGCATGGGGGCGGGGCTTCAGCGAGTGAGCGGCGCTGCGAGCAACAGCCTCCACCAGGGCCGAGTGGAGGGGCGAGTAAGGGTGCTGCTGAGATGTTTGATGCTGTCAAATTCATCAAGTCTCTTCCTCAACCCAGGTGCCCTGGCAGGCTTGAAAACCGACATGCAGGAAGTGTGGCATCCACATCCACATTCGAGAGGGATGGGAAGAAAGGGCCTGCTGAAGATGGAGCCAGTGGTAGTGGAGAAGGGCCACACAGGATGCCATGGCCCCAAAGGCATGCGACAAGAGCTTCTGTGGAAGGATGTGAAGCCAGTGCGAAAGAGGCGGCTAAGCATGCGATGAAATTAGATGCAGAGCCTGCCATCAGCAATGGTGATATTTCAGGGATTCGCACAGCCAACGGGGAGTTGTCAGGCCCTAAGAGAAAGCCCGAACAGAATGGTCAGCCTGTGTGCACTGCTCCCTGGAATGTGATGGCTGACGAGCAGAAGCACATGAACGGATGCATTCTGGCACAGGATACGACATCACTCAAACTTAAAACGCCCTCACGTCCCAGATCGGCACCATCCCAACTGCAGCGGCTCCTGCCAGAGAATGCTAGCCCCCAGAAGCTGGTCAAGAGCCCAGACAGGAATGTGTTACGGAGACAAGAGTTGGGGAACAGTCAGCCAATGGGGAACAGTGAGGAGGGTACCGATGCGCAATATTGCAAAAGATCTGTGCAGGTATTGAAACGCAAGCTCGATGCCTCTTCACAGATGGAGTGTTCGCCTCAAAGGTGGCATGCGAAGCTTGCCAAAATGGAGGGCAGACCCACATCAAAGGAGCACTGGAGACAGGGCTTAGGGTGGGAAGAAGACAAGCCATCAAGGGCGGGTTCCACAGTGGGAGGGTTCACCAGAGCAGCAAAATTCGATTCCATCAAAGCTTGTATGGCTGCAGATGAGGAAGCGCATGCGCCAGACTGTGTGGCCCCCCTGCCACAAGCAGACAGGCAACTCGATGGCAAAGGCAGGCCTGGCACAATGGGCCTGTCAGATCAGCAGCCAAGGGATGGTGCAGATGCAACACAGCCAAAGGAACAGCCAAAGACTGAGGTGCTATCGTACCCAGGCTTCACAAAACCAAGTGGTAAAAGGAAATTTGGTGTGACAAGAAGGAGGTCCTTGGCATCCCCAAGCAGACTGAGCGGTGCAGCAGCACTGTCAACCAGCTCAGCAGAGATGGGCAGGAAATCTATGGCAAAGAATAACAGGCTCAATGGCTTCTCCACTGGAAGCAAGAATGAGAGACAGCTTCTGAAGTCGCCCCCTGCAAGTGATAGACAAGATCGCTGCCGCCGCCGTCTTGTCAGATCAGGTGATATGCCATCAGGTTGTAGCATCAAACCTGCGGCTTCTCAGAGTGAACGGTCGCAAGGCAACTGGAGATCTACAAGAGGGGAGAGGGCTGGAGATCGATTCCAAGCAAGTTGCATGCACCTGGATGTGCAAATGGGCAATGTAACTGTAGTAGCACCAGATGAGTCACAGACGCCTGGGAAGGTCCGAGGCCTTCAGGGAACCAGAACCAGAGAGAATGCTAGCAAGGGGCAGCTGGGTGGTGGGAAATCTTGCAGACCCTCTCCACAAGGCCCTGGAAGCAGTCACACCCCTTATGTGGAGCTGGATGTCACAGTGGGCGAAGTTGCAACACAGGAAGCAAGCCTTGTGGATGGTGGGGACCGATGTCAGGGTGCAGATGCACAGTCATCGGCATCGGAGTCGAGTGAGGAGCCACCAGCGGACATTTACTGGCTGATGGTGAGGCTTGAGGGCGTTGTTTCTTCCTTCAAGGACAGCAACTTGGCGAAGGAAACTGTTGTATCAACACCCCATGGCTGCATCGGTCAAAAGCCAGTGGAGACGAAGGAATCCTTGCTGGGTCCCCCCGATGGCATGGAATGTGCAGCGCGTAGTTCACAAGACCAGGAGGCAGATGAGAAGGCAGTAATTGCCACCTTCTGTGTTGAGCAGAATGGCACTGTGGCAGTGAAATTCGAGGCTCAAGATAACAGGATGTCAACCCCCAAAAGGTTAGCAGCCTGCACTGGTGGCAGCCCTGGTATGGAGAATGTGCCAGCCATCAACCCATGCTTGTTAGACGGCACCAGCATAGGCGTTCAGCATGGCGGTGTTGCTATAGCTGCAGATGAGCCAGGAGAGAGCATTCCGACGGCTTTGGGTGATGATGCGATCATTGGCAAGGCAGAGAACCAAACTGATGGCGAGGGTGGTTCACAGCGTCCCAACTTTTCCATCCAAGCTAAGGATGGGAGGCTGGGGCACCTGCAGAACGTTCCAGCATACACGCCGCTGCTAGCACATCAGGAGTCATCAGACCTACGAGATGCACCATCTTCTTTGGCCACATCCACACTCCGATGCAAGAAAAACAGCACCTCCAGAGCTCTGTCTGCATCTCAGGATGCCAATCAGACGGCGTCCACTGTCACTGCGACATGTTCTGGTTCCATTTCGGTTGGGACAGTTGCACAAAGTCAAACGAATGACAGGCGACAGGCCTCATCTTCCCAAGGGCATCGGTCCCCAAAGAAATTGCCTTTCAGGGAGACAATTGTGGCCCAGAAGGGAGGTGGAGCACAACTTTCTGAAGGGGAGGACTCCGACTGCCTTTCCGATGTAGTGTTGGCGCAGCGTGTACCTCGAGAGAAGAGACCAGTGCTCAAAGGCAGCATGGTTCAGAGAATAACAGTGGAGAAGGTGAATGCTGGTTGTGGCTGGGATTCCTTTTACTTGACCAATGGAGTGGGAATTGCTGAACTCGTGCAGTTTTGTGCATTGAATCTTGTGCTTGTTGGTCTGTATGTTGTTCCTTTGTGACAAGAGACATGTGTGCAAACAAAAACTGCTGATTGTACCCTTGCACACACTGTGTTGAGTGCTGGTAGTTGTCCTCGAAATCCCACTCTGCACTTTGTTGACAAGTGAGTGCTTGGGGCCTTGGCATGTTCAGAGACCTCTGTCGTGTGAGCTTCCAGTCGCCTCATGCATAATGTGGAATAGTACCCACAGTGGGGTTCAAAGGGAAATCGGTTAAGAATTCTTGCATACTGCGGTAGGTGCAGGCAGGATTCTGTGTTTTGAGAATGGGCCTTCTTTTGTTATATCACAGCACACCCAAAGGAGAGGAACAGGAACAGTTTCTGTGGAAGTGAGCCCTGTTATTGAATCAGTTGTGTGGAACGTAGGTGAAGAAAGCTAAAAAGCGCACTGCCACTGGGAAAGGCAAGAAGGTGCACATTGCACCCGACTCTGTGTCACGGCAAGCGTCAGATACAGAGCTGCAAGACACACACGCGAAGCGTGCGAAGCTGACCTGCAGTCGGGGGAAGTCTGTTGCAATGCTGAGGAAGGCATTGGCAAAGATGAAGCGGATGAAGCAAACCACAGGTGTAGTTCATGGGAATTATTGTACAGGAACTATTCCAGGACCCATTACTGGTATGGAATCCAGAATGATAATCCCTGCTACATGGTCCAGAACTGAAGTACTGATATTCCTGATCCGATTTTGTATTTTGCAAATGTCAGATTCCAGTACATTTTCCCTTGCAAATGTTATACTCCCATTTCCATCTGTTACTGTGCACACATATTTCCAGTGTCATGCATGGCTGATAACCATTTGATGGCTCCGATCCACTTCTGCCTGATATCTTGCAATTTGATACTTGCATCAGATCACACCACAAGAGAAGCCCGATCGTACAGCAAAGAACAGATTGGCCACGCCTGAGGTGTACATCTGTGCAGCGAATTCTTTAGCCACAGTGTTCAGGTATCGATATTTCATCACTGCCAGAAACTGAAAAACCACCTTGGACAAGTTGGGGAGTGTGGGATACCATGGTGATGGATTGTTTGAGCCAGCTGCCACAGTCTGAAGTTGGCCAATGTGCTGAGTGTTTTGCTTTGCTGCAGTAATGCTACCACATGAGACCCATGCTGAGGGCCGGCCCTCCAAGGATCAGGGTGCACCAACCACGATGAAAAGAAGCCGGGCGCTCCGAAATGAGACGCGGCAGATGGCCCGCAGCGAGCTGATGTCTGATGCTGTCAAGTGGAAGAACATCAAGGCCAGGTCGTGCTTCAAGAACCTGAGGATGGGAATGAGTGGTGTTCACAGCCGCGGCGTCTTTGCAACAGAGATAATTGAGCCAGAAATGTTTGTCATTGAATACACAGGGGTGCTTATACGGGCCAGCGTTGCTGAGATCAGGGAGAAGCGCTATGAGAGCGAGGGCCGGGACTCATCTTACCTTTTCCGGTGAGGCAATTGCATGTATTCCCTGTCAGCATTCGCAATTGGGATTGCTCTGCCTGTGCTTCGAATATTCATTCTGCAGAATTGGATGTGACAAGTGCTGAGGAACACCTGGGCTTGCAGAGTTCACTGCACCATTGTCAGGTCAGCAGAAAGGATGAAATTGGATCCTGATGTGCCGGCTGGGTTAAGCAAGCAGATATAGAGGCCACCATTGCCACCATTTGCCCTATGCACATGTAAGTTCCCCGAATGTTTTTGTTGTCAAGGAATGTGTCCTGGCTCTTAGACAACTTGATGCATGAACACACACCTGCAATGTACACATATGCATGGACATACGTGCCTGGGCATTTAGGCTTGCATGGCCATATTGAAGGCCATGACGAGAAAGTGTTCCAGCTTGCAGTCTGACTGAACTGTGTTTCTATCTTGACTATCGCTGACAGACATCACCTGATTGGAATAGCAGTGACTGTGATCAATCATGGTGTGAGCAAGGGAAGATGGCAGTGGAAGCTCTGTTGACCCTAATGGAAGCAGAAGTTATACCTTCAGGATGGCTGTAGGATAGGAATGGCATGGACGCTGCTCACGGGGGGCTGTGCAAAGTCTGCATTGCTGCTACCTAGGATGGCGATTCCGAATATTGAAGCACACAGGCGCCCTGTTGACGCTATGATATATTCGCATGCAATCCCACTAGGTCAATTGTGCTGCCAAGCCCAGTGCTGACACAACGCCGACCTGCATGGGTGCACGCATTTACTAAATGCTGCTTGTGTGGTCAGTTCTGTCGAACAGTGTGTGTTACGACATTGCCTCCGTCAATCATTGCAGATGGGCCACTACTGTGTGCTGAAGCCTTGTGTGCGTCGACCTATGCAGTCTCGACGACGAGTGGGTAGTGGATGCCACAGACACTGGTGGCATTGCAAGGTTCATCAACCACAGCTGTGAGCCCAACTGCTACACGAAGATTATCACTGTTGAAGGCCAGAAGAAGATAGCCATATATTCGCGATGTACTATACGCCCTGGGGAAGAGTTATTCTATGACTACAAGGTAACTTAGATTATCGGTCACTCGGGGTACTGAACTCAGCCGACGGTGCCCCAGTAATGACAATGCACGTTGCTGATATTGATGTTGTGCTTCTGTGGCTGCCTCACTGCTTCTGCATAGCATGTTTCTTCTGGGATGCTCACAAGGTGCAGGTGATTTCCTACTCACCCTTTCACTGCTATGCAACAGGCTGCTGATTTGTAATGTGTCATGCATTAGCAAGTTTGACTGCAGTTCTGGCTGAGTGGTTCTGTGGCTGCCTGCTGGTAGTTTGACTACGAATCAGAAGACAAACGCGTAGTGTGCAACTGTGGTGCCAAGACCTGCCGAGGCTACATGAACTAACCTACTTGAAGGGAGGGAACAGGGAGAGCTGCAGATAGGAAACGCCCAATGGGAAACCGCTGCGAGAAGGTTGCGAATGGGCATAATTCATTCACGTAGATCAGGACCCATATTGTAAAACAAATTGAGCGTTCGGTTGGAATCGCGCTAGCAGTTGAGCAAACCCTGCGCGGAAACCTGGCAATGGGTGGCTGTGAACCTGGTGGAAAACAGCATTTGCAAGGATACCATACTACACTATTGGCATATTTGCCAGGGAGTGTGCTGAATATTGCATGTCTGCCAGAAACGCAGCTGCACCCATGACGTCGCAGTGCCTTTGCACTAATCGAACTTTGGTGGTGGCCTGATGTCGCACACCGACTGCCGGCCAATGATAAGTTGGCATCAAGGGAAAGCAACCTTTTGACTTGGACACGCTCACCGCCCAACGAATGCTCAGCTCAGCCCCCCACCCCAGTCGCCCGCCCCAAAAGCTGCCCAGGGCGAATTTGTACCGCTTAATGCCCAACTGACGCTATTGGGAGGGTTACTGGGCCATGATGCTAGGACACTGTGTGATTGTCCCCATTGGATGCAAGCCAGGAAAAGGCCCAAAACACCCATGATTTGTCCGCAAAACTCCCTCCCGCGTTCACCTCCAACTGATATGCTATGGTGAAAACGAGAACTGTGTATTCTGGCAGCTGTCGAGGTAGATGGCGTGGGCCAGGTGGCCAGTACCTTCGCCTGTGAGAGCGCCATTAAACACCTAATTTGGGCTTTGAAGGGCAGTTGCTTGCACGCCCTTAGGTTTTGTTGTTTTGGATATGGCATTGATCTCTGATGCAGAAAGATTGCGCGGATCTATCATGACCCTGGCTCGAAACGGCACTGGTGACAACAACTTTGCATTGATGATTTGCAGATTTGGGGTTGCACACATGTGTGCGTGTTTCCAATTCTGTTGAATACATTCTTGTCACAATATGACAAAGCAAGCCCGCCCACCGAGCTGGCGATGGCGATTAGTACATGCCAGCACAATGTGATGTTCAAGAAAACGTTTGCTTACGTCGAGCGCAGATGCGTGTGTGTGTGTGTGTGTGTGTGTGTGTGTGTGTGTGTGTGTGTGTGTGTGTGTGTGTGTGTGTGTGTGTTTGTGTGCCAAGATGTTAAATCCCCAAACCTCAGGTCATACAATGGAGCACCCCCTCCTAACCAAGCATACAACTGGCCCTATTCCACTTTGCAATGCTATTGGTGCCACCGTCGGCAAGAATGAAATCGAAAGCAGGCTGCATGCACCAACCTACAAACATATACTCCGGGGGTGTCCGCAAGAACCAAATCGCTATTGTGTGTGTCGCTGAGGGTGGGAGAGACAATGAAATGGTGGGGAAGTTTAGGCAATGGCCTGAAGTTAACTGCTTCGCCTCTGGTTACAATGGCACCCCGCCTGCTTCATCCATTTATTTGCATGGAGGCAACGCTAGTGCCATTGTCACAGAAGTCAACCTGGAAGCTTTGGCTGCTTTATGGCGAGATGCAACAAACCTATGGCTGACGCTGCGGTTCGCGCTGCATGGTGCATGGGGACACAAGCAGCGTCGCCTGGAAGATGGAGAGGGCCAAGGTGCGGGGAATTTGGAGGCCCAACGACTGGGCCGCAAGCGACCTGGTGGGGACTTGGCGGTGACGTGTTGGGCAATTGTCGGGCGACTGCAGATGGTGAGGCCGGCTGCCCACTGCATCAGCGTCCCCAGCCGCTTATGACAGATCCAAATTGTTGAGAATATATTACTCTAGTATGTGCAACACTTGCGCCATGGGTCCATCCCGACCATTACGCTTTTTTCCTGCATTATCGTCCCGGACCGTTGCTTATTTTTTGTTTTGCTCCGCCTCATGGCGGGCAGGTTCGGGGTGGGCTCCAGAGGCTGTATGCTAAGTTTTTGGTGCAACGGACCTGTCCCTTCCCTCCAACGTGCACGCGCTGTGGGCATAAAATTACTGGCTGCACCAAATCGGTGACTTTTTGCACCAAGTCACGTGCACATCATGTCCAACTCCGTCCAAACTAACCTAGCCTAAAACCTAAACCCTAAACCCTAAACCTAAACCTGTCCTAACCCTAACCCTAAAACTCACCCTGAAACTAAACCTAACCCTAAATTTGAGGTTAGGACAAAGTGTCACGTGACTTGGTGCAAGCAGTCACCGATTTGGTGCAGGCAGTAATATTATTTCCGCGCTGTGCGACCCCAGCAGCCTGGCGCTGGGGACGGTTCCCGAGAGTCTCAGCGATCGCCCAGGGGTCTGCCGTGTGGCGGGGAGCGCCGAGAGGTTGGCGCAAGTTGGGGTGGGCCTTCGCGTGTCCAATCGGCCGTGGGCCGGGCGACGTGATTGGCTGCGAATCCGGGCGGCGATGGCGCTGGCATACGTCTGCGATCGCTTCCCACGGCTTGAGGGCTGAACCGCCCGGATGGCAAGCGGCGGGCGCCTGCCTGCCTCCCGTTCGATCGCCCAGGGGCCTGCCGGGTTGCGGGGCGCACTGAGAGGATGGCGCAATGCGGGTCGGGCCTCGCGTGTGGGACTCCGCTCAGTTTGCATGGCCTCAGATACCGACCCAGCGACTCGTGCATCCGGGGCCACCAGACGCCACGGGAGTCCAGAGATTTTCGCGTCGCGGTTGGGGCCGGTTTAGCCGCGGCAGGGGTCATTTCCAGGCGGCTTTCGGGAGCAACGCGGGCACCCCAACGGCACCACGGGTTATGGCGAACCCAGTTCGTCCTGAAGCTGCATCGGGAGCGTTGCCCAATCGGCTGCTCTCCATTTCCCTCAGCACCATTACGTTTTTTATTCACGGACTCCGCGAAAAGGGCCCAGCGTTACGTTACTATGCGGAAGGATTGAATATACTGCAGTAGTCCCTCTTCCTGTTTTGTGAGGATCCCTTCTTCTTCCGCTGACAAGGCCAACGCCGGTCAGCGGGTCAGTGGTTTAGGGTCCAGGGCGTCCGAAACAATAAGGGATCTTGACGGAAAAGACACAGCGGCTAATTTCATGGCTGCAACCTTTTGATGACTGAGCGACGTCATAGCGCTGAGTCAGCGATCACCAAACTGAGTTCTGTGCCAAGACCACGGCCCCGCCAAGCAACCCCCGCATCAACTCAGAATATGCGCGCCGCTCTGCGCTACCGCGGGGCCCAGGGGCCATGTGGGGCACGCGCCGGAGGCGCACAAAAGCGGACACCTGCTTGCCAAAACACCTGGGCCGTAGTTTCAGCCTTCGCGCGCTCCTCGCCGTGCCCCGGTGCCGCTCGCCGACATGACGCTGCTCTACAGCAGCGCTCTGCTGCGGGCGCTCGCGCTCGCGCTGGCCGTAAGCCCCGCCATCGCCGACGTGTCCTTCCGCATCCTGCACTTCAACGACGTGCACGGCCGCGTGGAGCCCGCCAGCAGGTTCCAGAGCCCCTGCAGCGGGGAGGACTTGGAGAGCGGGGCGTGCTTCGGCGGCTTCGCCAAAATTGCGACGGTGATCAAGCGGGAGAGGGCCAGCGGCGACGTGCTGGTCCTGGATGCCGGCGACCAGTTCCTGGGCACCATCTGGACGACGGTGTACATGGGTAAAGCCACGTCGAGTTTCCAGAACGCGCTGGAGGTGGACGCCATGTGCCTGGGCAACCACGAGTTCGACTTCGGGCCAGGCGTCCTGGGGACGTACCTGGACAGGCTGAACTTCCCGGTTGTGGACGCCAACATTGACGCTTCGGCGGAGCCGGAGCTGGACGGGAAGATCGTGAACAGCGTCAAGGTGGAGGTCGCGGGGACGACGGTGGGCATCGTAGGGTTCATCACCCCTGAGACGCCGTTCCTGTCCATGCCCGGGGACAACGTCGTCTTCCTGGAGAATCTGACCACCGTGGTGCAGGACGAGATCGACAAGCTGAAGGGGGAGGGGGTGGCAATTATCATAGGCCTGAGCCACATCGGCTTCCCGGTGGACGTGGAACTCATGTCCACCCTGTCCGGCCTGGGCGTGGTCGTTGGCGGTCACACGCACACTAAGCTTGAGGGAGATGAGTACCCGACGATTGTGGCCGACAAGGACGGGAACGACGTCGCCGTGGTGCAGGCCTTCTGGGCGACCAACCTGGTGGGCCTCCTGGACGTGACTTTCAGCGACGAGGGCGTGCTGCTCTCGGCGGAGGGCGCGCCGGCGATCCTGGGGGACAATGCGACTGACACCGAGACCTTCGTGGAGGATGACCAGGACATGCTGGACTTGATTGGAATGTACAAAGGCGACGTGGAGGCGTTCCGAAACCTTGTGGTAGGCGAATCGGCCGTGTTTCTGGACGGCGAGCGGCAGAACGTGCGGAACAAGGAGACGAACTTGGGCAGCATGATCTGCGACGCCATGGTGTGGTACATTAAGAACACCACCAGCTTCGAGGAGAATTTCGGACGGCTTGAGGCGTGCCTCACCAACGGGGGCGGCATCAGGGCCTCGATTGACGAAGGGCCCGTGACGTTCGAAGAGGTCGTCACCGTCCTTCCGTTTGGGAACGTGCTGTCCGTGGTCAAGCTCACTCCGCCCATGCTGTACGAGGCCCTCGAGAACGGCGTCAGGCAATGGGAAGAAGGATCTGCGGAAGGGGAATTCCCGCAAGTTGGTGGGATGAAGTTCACTTTTTGTGAGGAGAACCCCGACGGAGCGAGGGTGGATTCGGTGGAAGTCTTCGACGGCGGCGCTTTTGTGCCCATTTCCAGAGATGCTGATGAGCCTGCGGTCAACGTGGTGGTGAACAACTTCATTGCAGGCGGTGGTGACAAGTACACCGTCCTGCAGGAGGGCGAGCAAGTGTTTCCGTTGGGCCCTCCGATGGACAATGCCTTGCAAGATTACATCACCGCATTCTCGCCGGTCGCTCCAGGGACTGAAGGTCGGATACAGAACATCTGCCTGTCCGGCTGAAGTAGCGGGAAGCGATGGTTTGTGCTTTTCGTTGATTATTTTGGGGGCGGGATGCTGAGGCCAACGGCTTGAAGGGGGTTCATGCGATTCGGATACTGCCTGCACACAAGCAGCGCCGGAAAATTCTCGAGCTGCGGAAGCTCTTTCGGAAGAGAGCGGGGGAGAGGACTGAATTGCCGTTCGCGATCACAGAATTGAAGTGACGCTTCATCATAGCGCAGGGGCGGTTAGATAGAGAAGAAGGTTGAGGTTGGCATTCTAGCTTTGGCAATGCCGATGGTCTCGGTCTCGCATGAGCATGAGCAGTTTTCCGGAATTGACGAGGAATGAATGAAAGCGTGAGCAGAATGCCTGTATCGTCCTTGGAATTCCGTTGGGAACTTCGCATGACATTTCCTTCAAGGGAGGCAAAACAACTCTATAGAGTCCCTGTAGTTGCGCGTGCACAACAATTTGTGCAGTGCATCAAGTTGATCATCTGGAGTGGCGTCCTGATACCCGTAACGGGCAGTGCATTCTCTTGCATGCAAACGTATAATGCGGCCATGTCGTCTGGAGTGCCTCCTTCACTATGCCGCTCTTGCGGAGGAAAATGAACAACAACAACCGTCTTGCATGTCGTTCATGTAGCTGCAGCCAACAGTGCATATATTGTGTACACAATGTTGGCTGCCGCTAGCATGCTGCTAAATAAATGCATGTGGTATGACATGCATATATATGGGGTCAGTTGCCCGGTCGACAGCGTCCATGCCACTCCCCGCCGGATCTTGGCGCCCTCGCAGGATGTAAGATGATGTTGATATCGTCACCGAGGGTCTCGTTGCCAGAACATTCGGCAGAGAGGAGCCTCTCCCTCGAAATCTCTTTCTGTCTTTCCCTCAGTGGCGCAAAAGCACACATTCCTCTTGGCGGCGCTCTAGAATGTGCCAGAGTCCTTGCTGGTGGGGCTGTGAATGCAGTATTAAGAAAGCCATTGTCTGCTGCTGCTGTTGGTTGGGAGCCAACCGCGGAACCAGAGTAGTCCCACACAACAGCTGCGCTGCAACCAAAAAAGGTGTCGCCACAGTTTGCTCCCAACGTTCACCTCTCTGAATCCAAGGGAAATCTGCCAACGGATCATCTCTGGCAGTCACCAAAGCCATCGTCTCTCAATGCTTGTTCCTTTCGCTCACGTGGCTGCACCATTGCTCGTCATGCAGCCCCTGGATGCTGAAGGCTCTGTGCACATAGCCGGACTCTTGAAGGAATGGCCGTTGATGCGATTCAAACGGCCCCCTTTGGAGTACACACGGGAAGCGCGAATCCTCAATCTCCGATTCTTCAACGGCGTTGGTACACAGCTAGACGCAAGGCCACACCACACACAACACGCCCAGGGCTTGCATATTTGGACACCCTTCCCACAGCGAAGAGCCTTGCCGACGGTGGCAACCACCCTCACAACCGAACAATTCGAATCTCTTTGCACCCACAGAATTCCTCTTTTCACATGACAAGGACCATCATCCACCGCAAACCAGCCATACGACAAACACATTTTTCTTCTCTTTTTATGGACTCAGAATGCCTTGCAAACCATATTCCTGAAGTGCATACAAGTCGCACACCATAACGCATAAGTGATCCACCCAGTGAAATGGAATCCACTATGCGGTGTTGCGAATAGGACGGCATTTCAGTGCAGCACACCAAACCCATACCCTTTCAAGAGCCCATTGGCAGGCGTCATTCAGGCCTCGGTCCTGGATTGCATTGGAGAGCACCATGTATCATGTGCACTAGTGCCCTTACACGATATTGTTTTATTTCTGCGTACATGCACGACAAAGCAATAAATGAGTCTCCGGGCCATGCCATGCCAGTGCAGAGTCAACTCAGCGAAAACAAAGTTGGTGGAAACGGAATTGCTATGTTTCCAACCGCACAGACGATGCCAGACACGTGTTTAACAGAGGAGACACGGAAAAAGAAGTGAGAAATAAGAAAAGCACAAAAAGGAACGCAGCAAAATGCAGGTGTACACAACACGGTTAGATTCGCAAAGTAGTACATTAACCTTTCAAAAGATTTCAAATCGTGGTATACATGGTATTACAGCGTGAATCGTAAAAGCAATTGATTACCGTTCTCCCGCGATTTTGCCCACAGCGATTGACGTTGCTAGCGCTCGGGATCGAGCGCCAGATCTATTATCAGGTCTCGTTCGCCGATGTCTGACCGAGTTCTTAAGGGCAGCTCATGAACAGCTGCGGCAGTTTGATTATGCAGCCACGCACAATATTGCGACACGCCCTTGGTGAGGTGTCAGTTGCAGGGTTTCTTGCAGCTCTGTGAGTGGTCGTCGTTCGTTGGCAGAGAAGAATTGAGTCATACCCCTGCATTCACGCGGTGAAGGAGTGGTCTGAAGCGGAGGTCAGTGAGGCAATGTGCTGCACGACAGGGGTAGACTGGCTTGTGGTCGCGTTGGGAAAATGGGTATTGTAATTCGAGGCAAGTACATGTATCGAGAGGTACAGGGTCGGCTGGCGCTTGATTGAACTCTTGGCAGGGATATGGCAGCGGGATTTCAAATGTGGACTGGCTGGGAGCCGTGTGTTATTTCTTGGTGGCGGACACCCCTTGTGTGAGTCGGTGGCTTGGCGTTATGCGCAAGCTACTGTCTCTCATCACATTTCGGCTGTTTTCGTAATTGCCTGCATTGCTCGCCGTGCGAGCAAATTGAGACCGCGCTTCAGGGCATGCACGCTGCACGGTGTTCTGCGTCCTTGTCCTGCTCTTACGACCTCGAAAACCATCTGTCAGTAAATGACACAGAGCCTTTATGCCTTGCTTCATGAGAGGTTGGCCTTTGTGTAGCATGTCGCTTTCCTCTGTAATGATTAATCCACCATCAACTTGCACCCAGGCTTGGTGGTTACGCTGTAAAAGCTGATCGCATTTACATTTTCACGTGTAAAAATAGTTTTGACCTTGTTACGCGTAAGAATACGTAAATAAGACTTAACTGCAGCCCCGTGTACGTAAGGATATACAGACTTACGAGGTCCGGAGAGGAGCATCCAGATGCCCTGAAATGGGCAGCAAACGAGCCTTTGTTACACTCCATCTTCGCTCTTGCCGAGGGTGAGGTGGACACTGTGTTGCGGGAGCTGGAGGTAGCGGAGGACTGATCATTGTACGCGACTTTCGCCCAGTAACCTGGGTGTAACAGGGAGCCATAAAAGCGCAAAATAGCGGCAAAATACCCCATTTCGCAAATATAGTTTGCTACGCGTAAAACCGCAAATATAAAAACGCAAACGTGAACGTACAAGCCAAGCCTGGCACCCGTCAACAAGGCCTGACAAAGACAGCCACTTAGCTTTCTCTGAACAGTGGCAATAGTGATAAACGCTCCATACGCTCCGCTTCATATGCCTGAAGAATGTTCAACTGTACTGACGGATGTCTGAATGTTATGGCTAGTGTCCGAGCTACAAAAGCATGGAAAAGGCAGACATACCGTCGCAAACACCAAGGCAGAAAGCGTTGACGGAAACGATGTTCGTCAAGCGTTATAGTCTCAATACTAAAATGTTGGTGGGCTGTCCCTTACGATTTCCTCAGGCCTTTTGGACAGTGGTTGAGCTGAAAGGACCAACACTGCTGGCCACTTCTGTGTACCATTTTGTGGGCGTGAGCTCATGTGTCATGTTGGAAAAGAAAGTCATTGGCCTACAAGCAACCAGCTTCATTCCACTCTACTATCATAGCTAAAGCCACAATGCAAGCTCGTGAGAGGGCAGAAGTTAGTCGATGCAGAGAGAAACACACGTTGGCAGCCAAGTGCTGGTGACCAGGAGCTGATCCAACCTGTTTGGACAGGGTACAAGGGTGATGGTTAGGTATTGAACATATTCAGTCTCGATGCTTCAATTCATTCAGAAATCTGTGCCATTAGACGCTTGAATTTAAGCGCAGCGGCTGAGGGCGAAAACGGCAGCATGCCTTGACAAAGCTTGGAATCAGTTGTGCTGTGCGTTTGAAAGCGAAGCCGGGAATTGCTGAACCCAACGAATGTACATCTTGAGGTGTGCACCCAAGGCCGGCGTTAACGAATTTTGTCAGTATTCAAAGTTAGCTCAGGCCAGAAGGCGCTTGTGTTCACACTGGAAGCGTACCAACAGTGTCGAAAGAACAGATGAACTTCAGAGACTACCGCAAAGCTTGGGATGTGTGGCTAGTACCTCGAAGTTCAGTTAATGCTTCAGAAGCTTCAAAGCCTGAAAAGCTTCAAAGCTTGTTGGTCCAAAACATGGACCCGCAAATTTTGGACCGACAGGTCCGACCAACAAATTGGGTAGCCCAAGATTCCTGAAGCGTGGATGGTCAGGAGGGACTGCCGATCAAACAGAGAGCGAGCACCTGCGGCGAATTCCGTGCATCTCGAGTGCAACGCACGTGCAGTCTTCAGCGGAGGACACTATAGACCAAATCCATTTGCAAGCACCGCCCTTACCCACAATTATTCACAAGATGACTGAAGCAACTGCATAAAATTGTCGAAGGCATCTCACCATTCGATGCGGAGGAGGACCTGCTGAAATTCGTGTGGCTGTTAATGTGTGCTTACGCTGCAGTGAAGCTGGCAGAATTGTGTAGTTGTCTGCTGTCGACGTCGAGTCGTTCAAACTCCAGTCAATTGACACAGGACATCGCCATAAGGTTTTGGCAACATTTGAGGCGAGGTGTTTGGGTTGAGGCCGCATTTGTAGCATCTTGCGAGACAGTGTCAGGCGGAAAGTGCAGTTGTTCCTGGGAACCCGCCATTGCAGTCATTGTTGTTGCTTCTCTGTTGGGGCCGTGAGCAGGGCAGTTGCCCTCCAAAACTCCGAACTGAAAAGCATTGACGGGCCGAATTTGTGTGACTCTGCCCCAGCCCATCATGTGTTTGTCATCATGACGCCTCAATCACAAGTACTGCAACGGTGATGCAGTCCCGCATCAAGTAAAATGCA